ATCTATGTCCTCGAGTCAGCAGACACACACCGTTGTAGTGACCTATCCTCTATCGGTGTGGCCACAGCATTGCGTCGGTGTCTCGAGGCTCGACATCCACGGAGACATAAATCCCGGGAACCTGCCCACATTCGGGCGCGAGACAGCACAACCACCACCCAACCCCCAAGGCCACTTGGCTTTGCCATATCGCCCACCTGCTGTCGCTCTTAACGTATCTTTTTTTTTTTTTTTCACAACCACATCAATCACCGGCATCCAACAGACATCCACACCATGAATACTGCCACAGCTACTAATGATAGAGGCTTCCAAGTCTGCTCTTCCGTTTGCGGAAGATGAAATTTGGATTGGACCGATTCTATCGTTTGTTGGCGTTGGACAGTCGCTTTGTAGGAGCTGTAACAAAAAGATGAAACAGCTGTACAAAGATACTGGAAACTGAACTCAAGAAAAATCCAAGAAAGGTAAAAGATAACCTGGAAATGAATGGTCGCTCTGTGACTCCACAGACACTTTCTACAGTGCCACATTCTGTAACCAGCCACGGGCAGAATACTGGCTCAGGGACGATTCCAGCGAAAAGAAACCTGATCGTGATCATGTTTGCCATGAAATTGCCAAAATTGGAAATATTATGGTCATGCAGTGGGCACACCAACAAGGATTCCCATGGGATGAAGGGACATGTGCATGTGCTGCCGAACATGGACATTTGGAAATCATCCAATGGTTATGAGCGAATGGTTGTCCATGGAGTGCATGGACATGTGGTTTCGTTGCTTTGCATGGACATTTGGATCTTTTGAAATGGCTGCATGCAAATGGGTGTCCATGGGATGTTTGGACATGTGCTCAAGCTGCTAATAGTGGACATTTGGAATTTTTTAAGTGGGCTCACAAAAATGGGTGTCCATGGGACAAGACTGCATGCTGGCTTGCTGCTCAAGGTGGACATTTGGAAGTTTTAAAGTGGGCTCGTGCAAATGGTTGTCCATGGGATGAAATGACATGCTGGTATGCTGCCGAAAAAGGACATTTGGAAGTTTTAAAGTGGGCTCGTGCAAATAATTGCCCATGGAATGAACGGACCTATCAAGCTGCCTGCAGGAACAACCAAGAGGAAGTGATCCAGTGGCTACGCGACAATGGTTGCCCTGGGTCTCAGGATGAAGGACACTAATAATTTTTTTAAAAGTGTAGTGAATCGGGTTTACTATGGATTAGAGAGAGCTAAGATGAGGAGGGAGACAGAGGTCAAGGGGAGGGCACGACGCAGGAACGCAAGGCAGGCAATCAAGTGCGCAAGCAGGGCAACATGGAAACCAAGGAAAGGGGTGACTAATAATGGCACGGTATGGTATGGTGCTACAGTAGAGCACGAGACACATAATTTTGTAAGAATACTTTATGAAATTGCAGCTATGGATTGCCTGTACCCGTGCTCCTGATTGGTTGGTTGTGTGAGCAGTAGTGTTGACCTTGTCGATGAAGAAGGAGCCGTGGCTGCGTGGAAGTCTTTGCGTTGTCAACCAATCATTGCAGCAAACCAAACTCTTCATCGGTTCTAACTACGGTACGGTACGGTACGGTACTACTTGGTAGCCACTTGCAAGCAAGAAGCACCAAACTCGGAGCGATGCAGAGCACGAAACGCCATGTACGAAACGAGCCATGCATGATACGGGTGCAGCTAGCTAGCCAGTACGAGCATGCAGAAATCCATTTGGCCCGTTGCGAATGAATCCTTCGAATGATAATCGAATCGAATGGAATGGAATCGAATCGCAGCAGTGCAAGGCTTTCCTGGGTTGTGGTGAATGGTTCAATTGTTGTAAAGCTCGCAAATTTGTTCATTGTCGTAAAAAGGCGAACGATGGCACAATAGTACAGTATAGTACGACAACTGTACGTTCGTTGAGTTTCGTCTACATGAGAATGAAATTACTGCATGGGTACGTACTGCATGCGATAACGCCGTCTTGCCGTGAGTTCCCCCAACAGAAACCCCACCATCAATGATGCCACCGCCGCTGTAACGAGAAGGAACATGGAAGAACCTCGTGGCGGCGTCGATGCTTTTACGGAATGCGCTGTTGTAGTTGTTGTGCCAAACGTCCGGTGGTCCAAGACACGTTCCCACAAGTCGTCGTGGAGACTTGCTGTAGTAGTAGTAGTGCGCTGTGGTGGTTGCGCTTGTGCTTGTGTTGTGGCTATGGTTCCATCTTCGACTTGTTGATAGAATTGTGCCATGGCAGTATTCATTTTACCGGGTTCATCAATCATGGAAACGTGTCCGGATCGTTCCAATAGTAACGAGCGTGCATTCGGCAACTGCTCTTGCATTGTTTGTACGATGGAGGGTCGCATGGTATCGAATCGTCCATGTGTCAACAAGACGGGGACGGTGATTGTTGGCAATCGATCCGTGACATTGTACGGTGCCAAAACTCCCGACATGGTGAATTCGGAAGGTCCCTGCATGGCAGTGTAAATTTCTTCATTGGCATGTTCTTCGGCCTTCAAATAACAATCGGTGAATGGTGTTCGTACGGTAAAGAATCGTTTCAAAACTTGATTGAGAGTTTGATACTCTTTCGACTGATAAGCCTGTTGTTGTTCGAGTGTATGAATGCGGTCTTGAACGTAATCGGGGAGCGTTCCCAGAGTGCCGTCGACAGGATCCCACTGAGCTTGAATGTAGGATTGACTGTCCGAGAAAGGTCCCGAGAGGACCATGGATTGCAAGCCTTGCGTTTGTGATGTTGTAGCATTCAATACAAAGAGTTGTGCCAACAAGGTGCCCCACGAACTTCCGACAATATGATACCCGCGTAAGTTCCAATGATCCAAAAGTGCGGGCAATTCGACCGTCGCGTAATAGTCGGGATCGAGGAGCCACGGGTGTTTGTCCAACAGTGATGCATCGTGTTTGGGTCTACTTTTTCCACATCCTGCCTGATCGTAAAAGTAAATGGGTCTTCCATGACATGCTTGTTGCTGGAGTGGGAGCATGTAGTTGTGTGTAAAGGCAGGGCCTCCATGGAGTGCTACAATGGGCAACTTATCACTAGTACTAGCACTACTAGCAGTACTACTGCTAGTGGTAGAACTGTGTTGCTTCTGTGTGTATTTCCAGTAAGTGACTGGAATTCCTTTGACGATCAATTCGCCCTCTTCCACATCCAAGGGACACAAATTGGGAATCAAATCTTGGCATTTGTACAAGTAGTCAGCACTACCACTAGTACCGGTAGTAGAAGAATCATCACCACCGTTGTTGTCTGAGGAAGTAGAATGGCGAGAGTCGACTGCGACAACCGGTGCCATCATCAGATACAGCAGAAGAGTCCCTAACAGGAGGAGTTGGCTTCGACGGCTCATTGTTGTACGGCACACAACCATCATCGTCTCTTCCAGCGGTACTACCGTATCTATTAGACCTAGACTACAACAGCTACCGGTACTCAAGGTGGATTTTTCGATGGTCGATGTTGGATGTTGGGATCTTTTATGGATCTTTTGGCACTATGTAAGGTTGAGGATAATATGGGAGCTGCATGTCGGCGTGCTCGCATTCGTCTCAAATTTTGGCTCCAAAAAAGAAACGAGGTCAAAATCACAACTGACCAACCACCATCACAAATAATGAGAACAGAAACAGAGTCCAATTATGATCAAGATGATGCTGGAAAGGAGACAACGGATGGTGGCCCTACGGTGGGTAGTAGTGATACTACTAGTAGTGTGTCTCTCATCACCTGTAGTCTCATCAGAGACAGAGTCCTCAGAGGAACCATCCAGCAAAGATGACAATAGTAAGAAGAACACCAATGACTTGCTACTGGAATGGGTCCTATCCAAGGGAGGCTACTGGAATGACAAGCAAACATTGGGATTCGATCAGAATGGAATATTTGGAGTCTTTGCGGCTCAACATATCCAAGACAATGAAATCCTCGCACAAATTCCATGGAGTTGCGTCATCCACACGACGCCTCCCAGCAAGCGACGATTTGACAATTGCGATACGGTCACGCGCCTCAAAGACGAATTTGCGAAAGGCAATCAATCCGACTACCATCCATATACACAAGCGCTATTGGAAACGGCCCAAGTTCATCGCTCCCTCTTGCCGGCGCATTGGTCCGCGCAAGGACAAGAACTCCTCAAACAAGTACTCGCGACAACCATTCCACCCCAAGACATGTTCTTGACACTGGATTGGAAACATCGGTGCGAACAAGTCCATAAAGATGCAACACTGTTGGTCATGACTCACGGAGAAGATTTTGGAATGGTACCCATTACCGATCGTTACAATTCGCGCGGTGGCGATTACATGGGAGCGTACTTTGCCATGGCAGGAAAAAACAATTCCCAAATGGCATTGGAAATTCGGGCTTTTCGCAATTTGGAACCGGGCGAACAAATATTTACCGATTATCACGATTACGGACAAATTGGAACGCCAGAACTATTGCGCGATTACGGATTTGTCGAATTGTATCCCCAAAAATTCATCTTTCATCATTTGCGTGTGGCATTTGATATTGAAGTCTATAATGAAGCCGAAGATGATGACGACGAAGAACAACCCGTCCTGCAAGTCACATGGTTGCATCAACACGAACACATGGCCTACTTTCATCCACGAGAACATTACGAAAGTCAACAGAGTCAACAACACATTGCCGTCCTAATTGATTTTTTCCAACGGGAACACGAACGTCTACAGCAACATGTGTGTCCTTCTTTGCAACACACGGCACAATCAAATGATTCCATTCCAAAACAAGAACGCGATACCACCATTACATTTTGTCATGCCGTCATGGTTGCCATGGAAGCCGCATTGGATGATCTAGGAATACCGGTACCACAACCCAGCAATCTACGACAGTTGGGCATTGCCATGGCACCCTCACAGCAACGTGTCGACGACACGGAAAATTGTGAGGATGGAAACTGCAGTGATGAACTGTAACAGACAGACAAAAAGAAGAATTATCTATACGTAGAGCACTGGGTGTTTTTGTGTGTAGATACGCCTCTGTATTTTTTACATTCCGACATGCAGGCACATGAAACCAACTACCACTACTTACTTGTTTACTATATAATATAGAAGCAGTTATAGTGCTGCAAAAAATAACTCTACAGATGACAAGGATACAAGCAGGTTCTACAAATTGCTTAGGACATGGACACCCTGAGGATGGGGCCTTAGATTCTGGATGCTACCTTTGTGGTCGGCGGCTCCCAGCCCAATACCCAATGCCATGTACCAGTACCGTATGATCTAGCTCCCTGACGCTACGATGATCATCTGATGATGCATCCAGATCTGACGCCCTTAGCTTTGGAGTTGCGGGGAATCCGTGCTTGAAGCAGTTCCTGTTTGTTGGTCACCAGCAAATTGTGTTAATCTTCCACTTTGAGTCATGCTTCAAGATTGTGTCATTCTTCCAGATTGTGTCATTCTTCCAGATTACTTCACCTGTTACTAATTGCTACGTGTTTTTACGTAGAGCCTTCCAGATTGTGTCTTTCTTCCAGATTGTGTCATTCTTCCAGATTGTGTCATTCTTCTCTTTTCAGTCATTCTTCCAAAAGAAAACAGTTGGAACTGCCTGATAAACAAGTAAAACAGGTATTCCCGCAACTCGTTTCCCCGGGTAGAGCTACGGTACGGTAGACTACATACATGTAGACTCAACTCGACTCTACCGCATACCGCTACCAGTACACATGTACACATGGCTTCGAGTGAAGAGGTCCAAAAACAAAGAAGGAGCCCGAGTCAGTCGTGGTATCGAAGCTACTATAGAACCAAACTGTACAATCCACATGATGAAAGAATAAGAGACCAGTACCGTGTCCTAACCCATGACGTTCCCGAATTTTTCACGAATCAACCACTCCCGGCATATGCAGGACCCACGCCACGCCGAAAGCCGCGGATCCAGCTCACAATTTCCACAACGAGCATCTGAACAGCTCAAAAGAAAGTTACAAGCTCACAAAGCAAACAAGCTCACAAAGCAAACAAGCTCACAACTTACCTTCTTTAAAGATACCAAGCCAGTACAACTTTAGAAACCTCAAACATGTTCTTTTCAAAGAAAGCACCACTCAACAATGTCGATCCTGCTGTCTGCAACCCAATCATTGTCAACCAGACAAACCACAGTATTGTCTTGTTCCTGGACCGCGGTGTCCTCTACAACAAGCAAATCATTGGACCCGGTGAAGCCGTGGGAATGACTCGGAACCAAACTGCTGGATCAGTGATGCCATATCGCATTCATGCTGTGGTGGGAGATGAATCAAGTTTACCCACAAGCAGTCAATCCATGAGAAACGCACTTTCCACCTTGGTGATCCCCACTGCTTTTATTGTCGGAACTTTGGCGGCTGCGTCGTCCGCCGGAACCCTCGCGGGTCCCTCCAGGGCATTGAGTCGAGCCGCTGGTGGACTCGTTGTTCGTGGTATGGTGATTGACTCGGCTGCCTTAGCGGCTGGGTCTCTGTCGGCCAGTCGAGCTTCACTGATTGCCGACAGGTTGATTGAACAATATCCCGAGAATTATTCGGTCAAGAGTCCCCTGTACATGCCTGGCAATCGCCATGTAGTGATTCGAGGTGGAATCGAAGAGCCCTTGACAATCAAGACTATCAAGGAGAAAGAGTTCAAGCGAATTGCCATCCAAGGAGAGCTCAAGACCCCAATGGATACGCTTCAGGAGAAGATTGAATATATCACTCCCAGCTTTTTGCGCCGGTCAAGTGCCACAGAAGGAGAGGATGAAAGCGAGAAGCCAGAGGCCATTGCAAATCAGACAGAGCAACAAGCGAGGGGGGCTGCACCTCTAGTCGTTGGCGGCAAGGCAGACGAAGCCGCTGATGCGGCGAAAGCAGCCCAACAGGAAGAGATGCAGCTTCGAAAGGCTATGGCCGAGTCACTCAGAGCGGAGGAAGATCGAAAACGAAAAGACGAGCAGTACCAAAGACGCTTGAAAGAGTCCGCCCCTATCCCCGTTGTTCTGTTCTGATGGGCGTATCCCATTGAGTGGCTGGAAGGTAAAAGGAAGGATGACCACGACCAAGGGTTATACCTCACCCTTGTCAGAGAGACTTTGAGATAGAATAGGAATGATGAAACCAAACCATGGATAGGGGCCCCGAAGATTACCAAGGGGTCTAAGAATATCCGATTTGCCGTCTACCGAGACCGTACCGGTAGGGTACGGTAACAGTTGTACTTTGGGATGGAGAAGAAAGCAGAGCACTAACCTAAAAAACCGAAAAATAGAGATTGACAACATCGTTTTTAAAATTTTGTTCCGAGGATGATTCGATTCGATTGAGATTCGGTTCGATTGGATTTGGTTCGATTCGATTAAGACTCGGAGATCCTTCGGGAGCTCGATACTGTACAGTAGATCTACCCGTATGACTTGCTTGCAAGTATCTCAACTCCTGTCTTTCCCAACGCCGCCACTTTACTCGGTTTGTTGTCTCTGCTGATGGTCTCCTTGGGGCCGAAGCTGAGGCACTCGCAAAACGTATTTCCGCTTTGCTCGCTGCAAAGTGGGAACGCCCTTACTCAGTGGCTTGGCTACGTTAATGCTCGGCTCAGCCTAGCTATTCTTCGTGCCCGCCACCTCTGCATGTGTGGCTCTCGTGTCCCTGCTGGCACAATGAGCTACCGTCATTCTCTCTGGAATGCCGATGGTGCACTTGCACTCTTCGGCTACTTTTGCTCCCTTCTCCTTGCTCGTTTTCCTCCATGCACCCCCCTTCCCCTGCCCCCCTTTGCCCTGCTCCCGTCCTCATTGCTCTCCCCGTATGCCCACCACCACCGCAGCCACTGCTCTGCCCAACTTAGCCCCCCTCGCTCCTTAACATATCTATTTAGTATTTGTTTCTGTTGACATTTTGCAGCTGCCACGTCTGCCCATTGCATGTACATGTATGCATTCCAGCGAGTCGAGTCCGAGAAAACAACACAACACACAACGGTACCATGGTACTTTTCAGTACTAAATGCTCAGTAATAACTACTGTACTTTACTCCTGAATATATTCACTAGATCTACTCAGTAATATCTACGAACTCACTCGTACAATATTTCTTATCGATCGAACCTTATCAATCGAACAATTAGGAAGACTGCTTACCTCCCATATCTAAAGTTATATGGTCCCACTTTACCCGTACTACTTTTTACTGTAATAAGTGTCAGTCTTTGGAGCGAATGATTTTTTAAAGCAGTTTTCCAATCCCACACAATCTATTCCTCATGCAGAACAGCTGCACGAGCTGTTGCATGCCAACTTGCTAGAGGAGCTATTGCCATGGCTCTAGCTAGACTAGCTAGCTAGTACTAGTTTTAAGAGGGTTACGAGCTTTACACGTAGAACTCAGGTAGGCTCCAGTACAAAAATGTTGGCTCACAATCCACTTTGGTGTAAAGGATGTAAACGGCACTCACAAGATTTAACACTTAGAGGCAATGAGAACCCGGGAATAAATGCAAATCGGACCAAAAAAGGACTCTTTCATTAACATATGGACTGAACGTTAAGCCATGGGTAAACATGCTCAATACAAACAAGGTCAGGAAAGATATAACAAGTATAATGGTGTAGTGTTGAGCCAATTTCTTTATGGAGTTAACAGAAGTTGTAAAACAATTTACTTTGGAGAGTACTGTTTTACTATAGTGTAAATTTTCGATGGCTCAAAACCGGCCTAAAACTAGTAGCTTGCTGTTCCCAGTACATGTAGTACCACCGCAGCTGGCACGAGGAATAAATCCCAAAGCATCCTTCCAATCATCCTTCGTAGACTGGCAGCATGCCAACTTGCGCACAGTGGTACCAGTACCGTGCTATGAAAAACCTCCACTGTTCGACCACATAAAAAAAGAACAAAAGCAAACAAGAAACGAAAGCCCAAGCACAGCAAATTTCAACCACCAACGGTAGCAATGAAGTCCTATTCCACCATCCTTGAGGCACTCAACAATAATGCTATAGAGATCCCTGACAAGGTAGTCTTTACGTGGGTCAACAGCCAATGCGAGGAACAAAACAAGATGACTTGCAAACAGCTGGAAGACCAGTCCAACGCTGTGGCTGCTCGTCTCCTCAAGCTGGGGTGTGAAAAGGGAGATCGTGTCATGATTGCATATCCCTTTGGCCTCGAGTTTTTGGCTGGCATGTTTGGTGCCATGAAGATTGGAGCCATCGCCTGCTCCATCTACCCACCAAATCCTAAACAGCTCAAAACGGATATGCCCAGATTCCGTGGATTTACCAAGGATGCTGGAGCCAAGTATGCTCTCTCGACTAACATGTTTGCTACTGCGATGACTGCAGCCAGCGTCCTTTACAAGACGGGTGTTACCTGGATTGGGACTGACAAACTCTCAATAAAAAAATTCAACCGAACAAATAAGCCGAAATCATTTGAGAAATATGTGGGAGAACCAGAAGACATCTGTTTGGTACAATACACCTCCGGCAGTACCGGACGTCCCAAAGGAGTCATGCTCACTCACAACAATTTGGTGGAAACCTGCAAAGGAGGTATTTCTTTGACGGATTGTTTGGAACCCAACGATGTGGAAGTCTTATGGGTCCCTCAATACCATGGTAAGTTCCGGCCACTACTGCTGCCTTCTTCCCATCCTTCTTTCTGTACCTCATCCCCTCTCCTCACTATCCAGACATGGGACTTGTGACTGGCTTTATGGGTGCTACATATTCTGGCACCCCTCTTGTCATGGCTTCACCATTGGATTTTATTGTCAACCCATTGCTGTGGACTGATATGGTTGAGACGTACCGGGCAACCATCACCTGTGCCCCAAACTTTGCCTACGCATTGCTTCTCAAGCGGTTGCAGCAAGCCAATCGAACTGCTGACTGGAGTTGTGTGAAGCGTGTCATGTTTGGTGGTGAACCTGCCCAAAGTCATGTTGTGGAAGCAGTGTCTAAAACCCTCTCTGTCAAACCCGATCATATCTACAACAACTACGGTCTGGCTGAAGCAGTTGTGCTTCTCACTGGTGGACCTGCCTACTCTGATTCTCAGGCACTTGTCCCCTGTGGACCAGTGGACTCCCCAACCCTAAAGCTTCGAATCGTGCAGGATGGACGGGAGGTGAAAGAAGGAGAGGTTGGAAGTATTTGGGCTCAGTCGCCAAGAGTAGCAGCTGGCTACTACGGCCAGCCAGAGCTGACAACCTCAATCTTCGCCAATGCATTGCCTGGCTATGATGGCACCTGGCTTGACACAAGTGATTTAGGCAAGGTGGTTGACGGTCAGCTCTATGTTACTGGCAGAGTCAAAGATGTCATCATCGTGAATGGCAAGAACTACTACCCAACTGATGTGGAGCTATCAGTTGATGAAACTTTTGGTGATATCATCCGCCCAGGAAGGACAAGTGCATTCCAGCACGGAGACGCCAGTGTTGGCATTACTTTGGAGGGTCGCACTGGATTTGATAAGTCAGCAAATGAACGTTTGGCTGTCGAGATAGCCAACCATGTATCTCAAGTCCATGGGTTGTTTGTATCCGAAGTTCTGGTCCTCAAGCTGGGTGTGACTCCCAAGACAACATCTGGCAAGCTGAAGAGGAGTGAGATCAGGAAGACAACTCTAGCTGGTGATTGGAAGGCATCTGCTGTGCTCATCAAATTCCAGCAACACGACAACACTGCTCCACTGATGGATGACGGTAAATCATTTTTGTGACATTGACCCTAGCCAAACAACTGCCCTCCCCAGCACAGCTGTCAAAGTTGTTGGAGCCATTGAATACAACCCTAATGCCTCCATATGGTGCTAGGCACCACCATCATTTGGTGCCGCCACTAAAATGGCAATAAAGCTCATCTTTGAACCATAATGACTTCTTAATATACTCTTTAAATTGTTTACTACAAGGTATATAGATTTGGTTGGTAATCCATATTCTATCTACTATAACTTTTTACAATCTATCGTATCGTATGAAAGAGGACAAAGTCGCTCGTTGTAGATTTGTGCATACAGGAACTTGGGCACCGACAGAGGAATCGCCATGCAACGAAGCACTGCAAAATAGCAAGGAGGGATGAATCCAATATATATAGGCACTCTCCTCTGTGCGAATTGTCGTGTTTTGTCGTGTAGCCTCCTCCTGTTGACTGTTGCCGTCCAATGACTCGACTCTTGGCTCCACTCGACTCGACGACCATCCGTTTGGGCTGCTGATGGGACTGGAGGCAACAGTCTCCTCCGTAGCCGCCTCTTCGTCCCGATCGATCGACATCAGCCTCTTCTACTTTTGTTCTACGCAGCCATCGATCGTCGACAACAGTAATTCACCGGCCGTCAGCATTTTTAAAAAGAGAATAGAAAGTAGCAAATAGATATGGTTTTCTCTTCTATTCTGATATCGAAGAAACCAGTGACTTAGCCTTTTCTTTCTTCAAATTCCACCAACTGGACGGTCAGCGGCCGAGACATGCCTGCCATCCCATGGTCCATACGATTCAATGAGGAATGGTTTTCCGGAGACCGTCGGCTTGAGATGCTTGGAGTACAGAGGTGCAATCAATCGACTCGATTGAATACATAACAGAATCCACCACACAAGCCAACTCTCATGTTGATGGTCGAGATCTGACTGCCTTCCCGCGGTAAGACTCTTGATATTAGGCATACCTTATTACCCCATAACGGTACCGGTAACGATCCATCAAATCAACAACGCACTTGTCGGTCAAGCTTGGATTTCTCTCCTGTTTACCTAGCTAGCTAGTATTCAATGAGGGAGAGAAGTCAGTGCTGCGCCTTCGACAATAAAATGCTTACCTCGTCCTAACGGTAGTATAGTAGCGAACAGATCGATCGACCGAGGTTACGCTATGTCGGGTTTACTATGGATTAGAGAGAGCTAAGATGAGGATGGGGACAGAGCTCAAGGGGAGGGCACCATGCTGGAACGCAAGGCTGCGATGGATGTGGTCGACGTTCTTCATTCGAGGGCCCGATAACTTCAGCGTGTGAGAGGCTTGAATGTCACGCGACTCTTTTTGACACTGGCTCGACTCGCTCGTCAACATTAATGGCTCGAAGAGAAGTCTAGCTCTAGCCTTAAAAAGAAATGTGCCCTTTAAGCCCTCGGATCCCTTGAAGCTTTTTCAGGGCGAGTTCTGCATGGATTCGATTCGAAGTTCTGCCGATACGAGCGAAGCACTGCATGCCTGGCACAAGGCGTCAGCAATGTCGTTGTACGGCTGTTCGTGACGACTTTCGAAGACCCCAACTTGTCTTTTTTCTCATGCCGGTTGCCTGCATGCATCCATATCTGGCCATCAATCGTCCTTGCATCGAGACTATTATCTATATAGCATCGACGCTTTCAGTAACAGCAGCAAAAGCTAAATCAACTGCAACAATGAAGTCCTTCCCCACCATTCTCAAGGCCCTCAACCACCATGCTGAGGAAAGCCCCGACAAGGCCGCTTTCACCTGGGTCAATGTCAAGTGTGAGGAACAAAACAAGATGACGTTCAATGAGTTGGAAGCCCAGTCGAATGCTGTGGCTGCTCGTCTCATCAAGCTTGGATGCAAGAAGGGAGACCGTATCATGGTGGCCTATCCTTTTGGACTGGAGTTCTTGGCTGGTATGTTTGGTGCCATGAAGATCGGGGTAGTCCCTTGCTCCATCTATCCACCTAATCCCAACCAGCTCAAGACTGATATGCCCAAATTCCGCAAATTTGCAGAGGATGCTGGAGCCAACTACGCGCTTAGTACAAGCTTGTTTGCCACTGCCATGACTGCAGCGAGCGTCCTCTTCAAGACTGGTGTCACTTGGATTGGAACTGACAAACTAGAAACCAAGATTGACAACCCCAGGAAGCCCAAAGATTATAAGAAGTTTGAGGGGGAACCACATGAAGTTTGCTTCATCCAGTACACATCTGGCAGTACTGGTTGCCCCAAAGGAGTCATGATTACTCACAACAATTTGGTTGAAACATGCAAGGTGGGGATTTCTTTGACTGATTTAAATGCTGATTCTGTGGCAGCTCTTTGGGTCCCACAATATCATGGTAAGTTTGGCTGGTGGCTGGTTCCTCTTCGCTACTTTCACATGACAAATATATTATTTTTTTGATTTGATCCCTTTGGTTTTCTTGTTCCTCATTAACAGACATGGGACTAACAGGATTTATGTCATGCCTCTACACGGGAAGTCACCTGGTTGTGGCATCACCACTAGATTTTATTGCCAAACCACTGCTGTGGACTGATATGGTGGAGACATACAAAGCCACCCATACGTCAGCACCCAACTTCGCATATGCCCTGCTTCTCAAGCGGTTGAAGCAAGCCAACAGAAAACCACACTGGAGTTGCATGAAGGCAGCGATGTTTGGTGGTGAACCAGCACAAAGCCATGTTGTGGAAGCAGTGGCAAAGACTCTCTCCATAAGGCCTGAGTATGTCTACAATATATATGGCATGGCTGAGATGGTGGTCTTTGTCACAGGGGGGGCAGCCAAAACAGACTCTGAGGAAGGGCTTGTGTCTTGTGGCATAGTAGATTCCCCAAGTCTCAAGATTCGAATAGTTGATGATGGAAGGGAGGTGGATGATGGGCAAGTTGGAAGTATCTGGGCACAGTCACCACGGGTGGCGGCCGGATACTATGGCCAGTCTGAGCTAACCACGGCTACCTTTGCCAATGCATTGCCTGGATATGAGGGCTCTTGGCTAGACACTGGTGATTTGGGAAAGGTTGTTGATGGGCAAGTGTACATCACAGGCAGAGTCAAAGATGTCATCATTGTGAATGGAAAGAACTACTACCCTACTGATGTGGAGCTATCTGTTGATGAGACTTTTGGTGATGTTATCCGTCCAGGCAGGACCTCTGCTTTTCAGCTTGGAGAGGACAGCATTGGTGTCACGCTTGAGGCTCGCAAAGGGCTTGAAAAACCATCAAACATAGATTTGGCTGTTCAGATAGCCAACCGTGTGTCCCAAGTCCATGGGTTGTTTGTATCAGAAGTTTTGGTCCTCAAGCTAGGCATGACTCCCAAGACAACATCTGGCAAGCTGAAGAGGAGTGAGATTAGGCAGACTACAATTGCATGTGGCTGGAAGGAAGCTTCTATAGTCCTTCACTTCCAGCAGAAGGAAGTTATTGCTCCTCTTGCCAAGAATAAGAGGTCTTCTTTCCTGGAGAGAAGTTTTTCAAATCAAGGTATTGCCAGCAGTGAGTTTTATCTGTCTGAAGGAACTCAACATGAAATCATGAGAAGATCAATGACACTGCCATTTGGATCCCTTGACCTTGTCATTGTGCCCGACCTTGAGCTTCCTGACATTGACCATAGCCAAACATATGCCCTCCCAGGCCAAGCTGTTGAAGCTGTTCATGCTGTAGAGTGCAACCCCAGCAAGTTGGATGAGTATTTCTCTGAGCTTCATCTTTCTGGGGTCTCTGGCATTGATGAAGCTTGGTCCAAAGCCACCAAGACAACAGCTGCAATGCAAGCAATGTGCTCCCACATTTTGAAGCATCTTGAGGACAAGCACCCAACCATCTGCCAGATTGCTCACAGTCTCATTGCTAATCCAGACTGGATCTTGATTGATGACAGGACAGGTTTCCTTTCTCAACTTATGCATCAAATCTTTGTTCTGGAATGGGTAACAACCTTCTTGATGAACCATCCTGAGTGCATTCAACAGAAGCTGAAAGATGATGCTGAATGGGAGGCTGAGGGCCAGAATGATCAGACAGTTCCAGTAGAGCTACAAGAGATGCAAAGAGAGAGATACAAACCCCAATTATTATGCAGGATGCCCAACATGCAACAACCCTTCAGAAACAAGGCGCCATCTGATGGAATGCAGAAGCCCTGAAAGAATCAAAGGGCGCGAGAAATGCTACAGTGCAGTCCTACCATATTTCCAGAAAAAGGACACCTCTCCCAAAATCCAGGGGCTTCTCCTATCATGCCTCAAAGTATGTTTACATCACCAAAACCCAACAACAATCCAAGCAGATCCTTCATGGGACACACTGAAACAAGCACAAGATGCCATTGGATGGCATAATCTGTTAAAGGGGAGAATCTCTTAACAATTCAGTCAGGAACAAAACCGATATTTGAACATGAAAAAGATCGCAACCAAACGCAACAAAGGACTCACATGGCTCACTGGACTCATTGACATTATCTATAAAGAATGGTGGAAACTCTGGACATGCGCAACCAAGACAGACATGGGAACGACATGAGAACCAAGTCACAAGCAAAGAAAGCACAAGCAATCCGCCAACTCACTCAGTTCTACGAGGCATACCAGCAAGAAGTCCCTGAACATTTGAAATGGATATTCCAGATACCACTCGAATAGCGCATGCAACTGAATACACCAGTCATCATTCAATTTTTGAACACATGGGAACCTGTTTTACAAGAGAGTCACTACACCACAGCCCTGGAAACAGGAAAGTCGGACATTCTACCATCCTTTTCCTTACCCTCCTACACCCCTCAAACTTCTTTAGCCACCCCAACTCTCCATTTTCTTATTCAACAAAGAGCTCGGGATTTGTGGTGAATCATGGCTCCTACCTCAGTGTACAAATCCTTAGATAGCTTACAGGCGTCGCACCCTCTCAGGAGGCCAGTGTGGCCGGTAAGCAGACTTGACTGTGGGAAATACCCGCAGCGCCGTAGTCTCGTGGTGGAGTACCTCACAGCACAATCTCGTCGATCCGTTAATTAATTCCTCAGCTGATTTGTTTTTTGAATTTTCTTGTGCCCATTTTTTTGCTCAACCCAAATACCCTCTAACATGTTTAAACACAGGAGGTTATTGATTCTTTCAACCTGTGCATTGATAGTTGGGCCTTCAGCCAACAACAAACTTTGGAGGACAATGTTCAGTAGTGCCACAACTGACCTGTTCTTGATCCAAAGGAAGAATGGCAACTTCCCATACATTGGATCTTTCTCTGGGAGGTTCAGCATCTCTTGTAGCTCTACTGGAACTGTCTGATCATTCTGGCCCTCAGCCTCCCATTCAGCATCATCTTTCAGCTTCTGTTGAATGCACTCAGGATGGTTCATCAAGAAGGTTGTTACCCAATCCAGAACAAAGATTTGATGCATAAGTTGAGAAAGGAAACCTGTCTGGATTAGCAATGAGACTGTGAGCAATCTGGCAGATGGTTGGGTGCCTGTCCTCAAGATGCTTCAAAATGTGGGAGCACATT